CCCCAAAACCCCAAAACCCCAAAACCCCAAAACCCCTTGCATAAACGCAGTGGCTGAAAATATAATATTAAAACAACCATAAATGGACAAGAAAGATTCAATTCTCTCCCCAATTCTTATCGGATCTGGAATCGCTGTGGCAGCTCTTTGAGGAGTTGGACTCTACTTATATCTCTCTAAAAATGAAGAGGAAGAAGAATCTCGCCATCTCTCTAGAGAAGCAATTCTTGAAAAACTTGATGAAGAGTTGAAGAGTATCGTCAAGCCAGAGAAAATCTCTGCTGAGCAAAATGGGGCACAGAGTAAGCTAACTCTTACACATTGTTCTATAACATTTCTTTAGGTGGCATGAAGATCTACGACCAAGAGTTCTCAAAGATAGTATATAAGACACTTAGCAAATATGCTACCATGATGAAGCATTCCTTGAGTAAATCCTACCAAATTATCCATAGATTCCCAATCCTTCGAACAAAAAATTGAGATGCTAAGAGATGAAGATGATGAAGGCTACAGGAAAATATTCTTTGAAAGTAACTTATTTACCTTATTCATACAGGCGAGAAGGAAGAAATCAGCGCATTAAAGAAGGTAACTGATAAGGTCCTCAAAGGTATTGGAATCATGGAGCAAGACTATGTGTTCTCCCTAAATTATCATTCAAAGGATCCTGAATTCAAGAAGGAATTAATGGCAATCCAAGAAGAACTAACACAAGAGCTTTTCACTGATGACGAGATCAACCCTCCTCTTCCAGATGATCTCACCGCTGAAGTTGCTCAAGAAATCAAGGATTTCGCTAAAGAAAGTACCGAGAGAGTTTTGAGAGAACTACCTCAGAAGTATAGAGATGCAAACATTCTCCAAAATGAGATTTCCTTTGAAGTCGCAAAGCTAGATGATGTTATTTTTGTGAAATATGGATACAAAAACAAAGTAGTGTTAGAAGCATTCAGAAAATATAATCTCCTTCCCCAGCAACCAGGGGCAGCAATGAATATGCCTTCCTAATTATTTTATCGGGCAATAAATATATTTTATTATGGGGTTTTGGGGTTTTGGGGTTTTGGGGTTTTGGGGTTTTGGGGTTTTGGGGTTTTGGGG